GGTGATGATGATGCCAGGCACAACAAAGGACAGGCCCCAGGCAGAGGAAACCCAGGCACCGGCGATGAGCGACCCCAGGATGTTGCCAACGGAGGTGTGTGAGTTCCAGATGCCCATGATCAAACCTCTCCTGGTGGGGACACAGCCGGGTCAGTGGCACTGCCAGGGTCAACAGGGACCAGGACTGGCATGGGGCATGTAGGAGAAAAACTCACTTTCCTTTGCCAAACCAGTTTCCAACGCATGCCACGACAGCAGGCCAGCCAGTTGTCTGCACCAGCCCATTGCAGACCTGGCAAGAGATGGGGAGCATCACCCAGCCAGCACCGACCACAGCCACGCAGCCCCTGCACTGTTTTGGGCAACTGGGCTCAAAAACAGCCACCCCTATTCTAAAGCTGCTAAGAAAACACTTGGTGTGTTTGGTTTTTTCCCTGCTGGGGCAATCCTGGAGCCGTTTGCATTGCTCCCATGGCTAACCTGGGAGTGGCTGGTGTTGCCAAACCAGCTGCCTGCACTGCTCGGGACGGGCACGCCCGCCGGTTTCGACGCCCACGCCACGCACAGCCAGGTTTTGGGGTAGGGTTAGGGTTAGGGTTATGCTCAGTGGGTTAGGGAAATGCTCAGTGTTCCCCTGCTCAGAATCTGGGCCACCCCAGTCCCTGAAGGTCACTAAAAAACTGGGATAAGGCGATGGTGATAAATCCTGGGCATCCTCCAGCACAACACACCTGCACAATGATGAAGTACCAGAGGACGTGGATGTCCCAGAAGTAGCCGAGGCCAAAAAGGGAGGTGAAGAGCCCGCTCAGCACCATTCCCCCTGACAGGTAATAGCGCAGAGGGAGGCGTTCCCCAAAAATGCCACTGCAGAGACAGGGAAGAGCACGACAGAAGCTGTCACAGGTGATGCCACCAATGTGCATTATCACACCAAGCCAGTACCCGAATCCTGAGTGGATCCCTGGCTGCTTTCCTGTTAGCATCACCCCATCCCAAAGGAAAGCAGCTTCCACCAGACTGGTGCAAACTGGTAAATGGAGGGAAAGGCTCAGGGTACCTGATGAACATCCCGATGGCATAGGCCACCAGAAAGGCATTATCCAGTGCCCCAAAAAGTTCCTTGTAGTTGTCCCCATCTGGAAAACAAATATTAGGGCCACCACATTAGCCTGGCCCCCATCTTGTGTCCTCTCCCCGTGGCTGCTGGCTCAGTCTTGTCCCCCATTCCCAAGAGCCTGGTCTCCATGGGGGCTTCTGGGGGCATGGCTGGGTGCCATCAGCACTGGGACCTGATCCTGTCCTGTCCTGGATTTCACCACCCATTGCTGCCCTTTGGCCCAGGGGCATGGGACAGACGTTCATCACTTAATTACCTCCGGATGCCTAATGAGCAGCCGGCCCCCTGCCAAACCCTGGCCACGACCTGGTTGTAGGGAATGGGGGGAGCCCAGCTTGGCTGCCGTGAGTGTGGGTTTTGGAGTGCCTGGGGGGCTCAGCCTTACCAAAGGGGGCCCAGCTGCACCATGTGGTGCTGTTGGAGTCATTGTGGGGGTTTGGGCCCAAGGTCGAGCAGTTGGGGTGCAGCTGGCTCTGCAGGGAGAGAGAGAGGGGTGAAATCGAGGTGCTGTCAGCACCCCCATCCCCGTTTGCCCTCTCCAGGTTCCCAGTCCCCACAGCTGTGGTGAGGCTGGAGCTCACCTTGACGATGCTGATGGGTTTTCGGGAGAGGTGGTAGCTGGTGTAGGAGAGGAAGGTCAGTACCAGAGTCAGTCCCCGATAGCTGTGGGAGGAAGGAAGTGGAGAGGTCAGGGTTTGTGGGACAGGGATGGGTGGCCTCAGCACCCAATGGGACCCTTCTACTGGATTGGTGACCTGAACCAGCTCAGCTGAGCTGGTCAGGGAGCAGACCCCCTAAAAAAGCCCAGGATGTGACTCAAAAAGATCAGCTGAGTTTTGTGGAGAGCATCAAGCAGTGTTTCCACCTCCTCGAGCAGTTCCATCCCACCAAAACACGGGGTGAGCAAGTCCCTTCCTTGGTGTCATGAGTGGAAACTGTGCTGATTCATCATCACTCCCAGGGTTAATAAAAGATAAGCTGGAAAAAAAAGCAGGGGGCAATACCTGCTCCCCTTCCTCCACCAAAAAGCTTCCATCCATCCTCTTTGCTTGGATTAAACGCAGGGAAATGGGGGAGTCTGGGCTCAGGAAATGGGGATGCTGCACCCATCAGAGCTGACAGATAAAGCTTGGAGAATCCCAAGAAGGATCTAGCACTCTCTGGAGCAAGATGAGCGTCTCTAAAGGAACTATCCTGCCTTCAGGAAGCATTTTATAGCAGCACAGGGATGCAAGTGGTCTGGAGCAGCTGCAGCACACAGACATGTCACAGGGTTGCTCCAAGTTTAGAAAAACAACAACCTTTTTCTGTGGTTTTGGCCTATCCTGCTCCTCTTTGCAGTTTCACTTCTCCCTGGAGCTGCAGCAATGAAGGGTGTCCTGCAAATCCAGGGCAACTTCCTGTGCTGTGGTGCCAGCTCCAAGGCTGCACTGTGGCTGAGAAACTTCTTCTTCCCACCCCAAAAAATGAATAAACCACCAAAATCACTGCTAGTGATTGCAGAGCTGATCCAAGAGGATCAGAGTAGGGAAGGGGAAGATAAACTTCATATGTAGCATCCCCCCTGGGCCTGACACTTGGGTATCGGGTTTTTTCTTTTTACCCTTTGTGTTCTGGCAGGGAAAATTCTAGCAGATGGAAAAGCAGGGGGAGGAGTGTCTGACAGTGGGCTTCCAAAAAATCCAAATATTAATTGAAATTAAATGGGCAGCAGTCCCATCACCACATCAAAAGAGAAGGCAGCAGGCGAGGTCTCTGTGTTGGTCACATCTCACTGAATTTTGAGTGAGGGCCTGAGACATCTGGAGGCTGGTGGGTGCTGCTGCCCATCTCGAGGTTCCCCCTCCCCAGGCCGAGTCCAAAGCCCTGGGCTGCAGTCGGTGTGGGCTGATCCCATGTCACAGTGGGCCCAGCGCCTGAGGGCAATGCTGGCCCTGGGGGAGTGACCCCTAACCCAGGGTCTGATCCCTGTCCCAGTGTCAGTCCCCAGACGAGTGGTCTCCAGTCCAGCACTGGTCCCGGTGCTGGTCCGGGGTCAGTCTCTGTCCCAGTGCCAGTCTCAGCTTCAATCCTGGTTCCACTTCCAGGGGCTGCCAGTCCCCAGGGCAATGACACCCCCTCCTCCCTAACCCAGGGCTGATCCCTGCGCCGGTTCTGGTCCCATCCTGGTGCTGGCTCCTGTCTCCAGGGCCAGTCCACGAAAGAGTGAGGCCCATTCCAGAGCCTGTCCCTATCCCGGTGTCGATTCCCTCCCTGCCCGATGTCAGTCCCTGTCCCAGTTCCAGTCTCGATCCCAGTGCCAGTCCCTATGTGCAGTTCCAGTCCCTATGTGCAGTTCCAGTCCCGATCCCAGTGCCGGTCCCCATACCCAGTTCCAGCCCCGATCCCGGTCCCTATGTGCAGTTCCATTCCCTATCCCTATTCCCGGTTCCCGCCCCGGTCCCGGTGCCATTCCCCCATCCCGCTCCCGCTCACCGGCTGTCCCGGGGGAGGGCTCGCAGCAGGCGGACCCCGGGGGCGAGCGCTGCCCTCATGGCGAGCGGCGGCGGCACTGGGGCACCCCCGGCTCCTTTTCACCGCCCCCGGGGCCGCCGCTCCCGCCCCGCCGGCCCCGGTCCCGCCCCGGCCCTGCCCGGGCACAGCCCCGGCTCCTCGGCCGCCAGGGGTGAACCACGCTGTGCTCGCTCCTTCTAACACAAAAATCCCCTTCCAATGCGGCTGGAACGAGGGAACAGCTGCGCTGGGCAGGGGCAGGCGACAGAGCCCCGAAGAGCCCTTTTCATATCCCCTCGGGGCTCTGTGAGCTTCCCCAGGTGCTGTATTTTCCAGCAGAAAAAAATTGATTTAACTTTTCCTCTCTCACTCCCAGCAAAACCCCCGAACAGGCTGCCCTGATGGCGACTGAGCTACCCCAGCCATGCTTTGGGGTTTGACATGCCAGGGATTTCAGGAGTCCTCCTCTTCCCCCCCCCTTTCAAAGTATCCCATTTAGCCTACTTGGAGCAGCAACAACTTTATTTATTCCTTTAACTAATCCCCTTTTAACACAGCCCCTTTAGGGATCACTCCAGAGAGGCAGGAACAGGGATCCTCAGGGCCTGAGCAAGTTCCTTGGGGACTTGCCAAGGAACTGCTTGTCCTCAGCTGCCCGAGAGCTGAAATCAGTTACAAAAAACCCATTTGCAGCTTTAGCCCTTTGCTTCCTTGCCCCCTCAAGGGGCACATCCTGCCCTTTCCAAACCCACTCCAACACCCTGAATTAGGGCTGCAGCACCTTCCCCTGACGCAAGTGGATGTTAATAAACAGCATCAGCCAGCACGGATCCCTCAGTGAATGATTCTCCAGGGGGAACTGAGGAGCAGTCCCTGGCTCTGTGCCTCTGTGCTACCTCTGGACTGGGGGTGGGTTTGCTTTGTGCCCAATGAGATGGGAACAGGGAAAAGAAATGATCCGGCACACTCGGCCACCCATCCTTCCTGCCATGGTTAATATTGGAGAGGGCGGCCAGCAAGGAGTAAATATTAATGACAGGGTAAGGAGTAACCTCTGCCCAGGACCACAGGCACTTTTGGGAAAACCCATCTTGCTCCCGTCACTCCTGCAAAGGCCTGCAGATTTTTTTACTAGAAAAATGCTCCTTCCTTTCAGGGGTAAAGTAGAGGCTATGGGAGCCTGGGTCAGTTACAAAGTTGTGTGGGTTTTACTGGAAGAGAGGTCCTCACACAGAAAAGGTGCAGGGAACAATAAATATCTGTCTGTGGAAGGTGATCCAAGTGGCAGGGGCTGGCAGAAGCCCTAGGGAAAGGTTAGAAATTCTCCCTTAAGAGATACTGACCCCTGGCACCTCATTTCTCCTTTCACACTTCAAATGAGACAAACAATCTTTGAAAACAGTTTATTCCACAGTCAAATGCTGGAATGCAAGTGCCTGCCATAAACCAACCCCGCAGAGCAATTGTCTCGTTTACCTCGGCCATCACCCTGGCCAACTGCACACCTGGAGCAGAGTGGGAGAGGCACAGCACAAACCGGGAGAGCAAAGGTGACACTGTCCTGGCAGCTGGCGTGGAGGGGCAGGCAGGACACGGCACAGCCCCACTCCCTGCTCACCCCAGTCCCTGGGACACGGAGCTGCCTCGCTCACAGGCGCTTCCCCACCCGAGCACAGAGAGCAGCCAGGTCCTGCAGAGGCCGTGTGGCTGCATGGCCGTAGGAGGAGATCACCGAGTGCAGCACCTGGCTGTAGGCTGAGCAGGATGGAGACACAGAAACACTGTCAGGGCACCAGAGCTCCCTTATGGCCCAAAACTGGGCTTGGCTTTAGCCTTTCACCAGAGCAGAGAGAGAGCAATTGGGGCTTAAGGTAAATCGACATGCCCGTAGTTTTCCACACACCCGTTTGCACACTCTGCACACTCCCAAACATAAAGCAGTACACAAGCCAAAGATTATTTTATGAACCCAAATGTCTCTATTTTCCCTCCCAGATGACTCCCAGTTGCCCAGCCAGGTATTTTCCCAAGCTGTGCTCAAGATCAGAGCACTCCATCACCTAAGGAAGGCCCTTTCCCCACCTTTGTGCATCCTCCAGCAGAAGATTCAGCATTTAAGGCAGAGGGCTTTGTGTCCCTAATGAGATACTTTGCAGCATTTTCCTCATGCTTGTGTCCATAGCTACACATGGTTGTGTCAGAGCTGTATTTTTTAATACATTGTAGGGGCTGGTGCCTTGCTGAGGATGCCACTACATTCCCTAAGGGACAGAGGTTGGGTCAAGCAGCAAAGCCCCTGACTTGCCCTCTCCAGAGCATATTTGGAGGAGCATCTCTGCACAGGAGCATGGAAACACCTAACCTGGTTTGATTTCTCCCTCTGTAATCAGGCCCAGGTGCCTCCTCTCTGAAAGCAGGAGCTCCTACCTTTGTGGTTTTTGTAGAAGACGCAGTTATTGGCACAGGTATCCGGGTGGGAATCCCAGAAATCAGACCCACAGGAACACAGTGGGGGCAAGTCGATGTTACAGAATTTGACTTTCTCCCTCATCTGGGCTCTCAGAGCTTCAACATACCTGCAAGGGATCAAACATTCACCTCTGCCAGTGACACCTGGCTCTGCACAAGGAGTGCAGACTGGCTGTACCTCATGTGCTCCTTATCTCGCTGCTGTCTGTCCCTCACTCTCCTCTCCTCCAGCTGGAGCTGGGCCAGAGCTTCCCATGTTCCCTTTCCTGGGGAGGGCTCTCGCTGCTCAGCCATGTCTCGTATCCTCTGCTCCTCTGCCCGGCGCTCATTCTCCTTCTGCCTCTTAATCCTGCAGGAAAACACACTTAGAGAAGGAGCTTCCCCCTCCCAGCCTCCATTCCTGGCTGTGAGGTCAGGGCACAGGAATCTGGGTGATGCTGCTGCTTTCAAAGGCAAAAGTAATTCTGCACTAATCACAGTATTAAATATAAATAAATACAAACAAATACATTGGGTTTAAACACAGAATGGTCAAAAAATTTTCCCAAGCCTCCATTCTTCCCCTCATATGACAACACCAGCCTGTGAATGCTCTCCTGCCCTCAAACTCTTCCTGCCTGCCTTTCTCACTATCATGGACTTCCTCTTCCAGCTCTTTCCTGCATCACCTCCACATGTGCTCCTGCCACCCACAGCTCCCCAAAGCTGCACTTCTGTCCTTAAACAAAGCATGTAGGCTGGGCTCTTTAATAATCCCCAGAAAGGACCAACACCTTGGCTTCCCAGCTTCCCCACTTCCCACTGTTTCTGATTATGAGGCAGCTTAGATCCTTCTGTAGCACTTCCAGGACAGGGAAGTGTGACAGGTACAGCAGAGACATTCCAAGGATCCCACTTTACTCCAAAAGATGTACTTTTATCCAAATTTTCCTCTATTTCCTCAGTTTCCCTTGCACCTACACAGCCCTCCAGCCCTTTAGTGGGACCTGGGTTGTGTCATTCACAAACACACTCCCCTGACAAGCAGCAATTGCAAAGCACTAAGACTTTACACCAAAGTATCTGACATTTTATTCTCAAATGCAATAATGTGTCCCAGGCAACTCCTTGCCAGAGGGCATAAAAACCAAAATCAAGGCTGGGAAGAAGCCAGGACAAGACATTTTGGACCTTACTTCATGTAGGGGGTCAAATCTTTGCATCCAGAAGGAAAGTGCTGAAGTTGAACTTCTCTGATTGAGTTATAAACTCAGAAATGTTTTTTAAATGACATGTAGAACCTTAAGTACAGCACTATAAATCTGCTCCAGAAACTGAGATCAAGGCCAGCTCGGGGCTTTACACCCTGTAATTACAAACCCAACTCTTCTCTGCATACATTTCAAGGGAAAAATTAATAATAAAAAGGTATCACACTAACTAGGAAGTTCCTGGGCCCTTGCCAGCATTCACAGGGTAGGACCAGCTCTCCCAAGCGCCATTGGAATGTCAGGATGTGGCTCATGGAACACTGCTTTAGATTTTCCCAAAAAATGCCCATGAAAATCCTGCCCTCTGCTGCCTGTCCCAGACCTCCAAAGCCTGATCACAGAACAGCCAGGATGGTTAAATTTAGGTCAGTTCATTCAAAGGAAAGCCAGGGAAAAAACAAACCTATTTTTCCTGTTTTGATGTGAATTTGCAGAGCTTCTCCTTAGTGAACCCCTTCACCAGAGAAGCTGAGAAAACTTCACCACAACTGATACTTTTACACAGATACCAAGTTGTTCAACTTGGGAACAAATGCCTGGAAATCATTTTATTACACTGTGTAAGTTTTTATGGCTGTGAGGGTGAAGGGTTTGGTACTAAAAATGCCAGGGAAAGTCACAGCTTAGCACAATAACATGACCCACCCCAAAGTTTCTAGATTCCCAGAGTCATGGTTTGAGAAGCTGCACCTCTCCCAGCACCATGATCTGGCTCCTAACTCCTAAATAAGCTGTACAGGGACTTCAAAACTAGAGGGAAAAGTGCTAAAGGACTCCACACAGCCTAAGGGTCTCTGCTGGGGGGTTGGCAGTGTAAATCCCACCCCTGGGGCATTACCCATCAGTGCCTGCTTTACACCAGACAAACCCACAGGACTTTTCCGACTTTTTGAAGGACTCTGATGGAGGAGGTGACCCCAGCACCTGCACAGACTCACTGGGCACCTCTCTGCTGCCTCTCTCGCTGCCGCTGCTGTTCCCTCACTCGCTGCCGCTCCAGGGCCATGAAGAGGCGCCGGCACCGCAGGAACTCGTTCTGCCGCTTGGGACAAGAAGAGAGGGACATTTGGGAAGCATGTCTGGGATAAATATCGAGCAATGTCAGTGCTCAGCTGTACATGTGGTGTTTGCACCGCTTAATTAGTGGATTGTCTGCAGTTTTCTTTTGTCTTTAATCGGAGTCAGGATTAAAAACACAAAGGAGATGAATTTTCTTGTGTTCGGGCTTGGTTGTTTATTAAAGCTTATCTAAAGTGCAGAGAGTTCTGCAACACTTCCAGCTACCAGCTAAAAGTGAGCAAAATGGAGGTGAATTTAGCTGGTTACAAGGTCTCTTAAAACTAAACAGTCCAATAAAAAATTAACACCTATATTATTTACACTTTTGACCCAATAACCAAAGCCCTGTGACCTGCAGTGCAACACTGTCTAACCAGAAACTACTACCTGAAATCATGGAAAAAAAAGAAAGAACACCAAAAGAAACAACACCCAAAATTCTCCATCTTGTCCCCATATCTATTACTAGATTATAAAAACCTCAAATTCAAAATCCTTCACCATGTGAAACCACACACTTCTATTTAATTATACACCCATGACTTTAACTCCATCATTCAAGTTTGGAAGCCTCCTCCAAGGCCTCAGGTCAAAAACAGTGTTCTCCAGGGGGTCAGTGCCAGAAAACAAAAAAAGTTCAAAAATCCCAAGTTTCTGGAATCCAACACTCAGCCTAATTTCCGGAGGATGGAACCTCACTCTTTCCCCAAAAAGACCCTCAAGCATCTCTGAGTTCCCATGACCCAGGACTGGGAAGCAGGAGAGATGGCACCAAGGTGGAAAAGACCAAATCATCTCAAAGCATTGGAGAGCTTTGTACCAGCATCCCTCCACTGAAGCTGCCTATGGATGGAAGCTCTGCCACCTGGCAAACTCCTCAACTCTCACTTTACTGAGGGGAAAAGAGCCAATTCCAACTTCAGCCCACTTGAATTTGGATCCACCTGCAGTGCACTGGAACCCTGCATCTCCTCCAAAAGATGACACCAAGCTGGATTCTCTACATGTAGGAGAACCACAGAGGTGGCAAAACCAATGCTGAGACAAATCCAGGGGCCCTGCAGGGAAGAATTCCCATATGGATTCTGAGGGTTTAGTGTCTGGGCTTTGGCTGATCCCACTGATGCAGCAATGGCAGGGAAACCTCCTGGCCAAAGCTGACATCAAAAGCCCTCCTGCTGTGGGGTACAGAGATAGTTTGAGCTCCAAAAGCTTTAATGCATAGATTTTTCTTCATGAATGCCAAAACCTTTGGGCTGAGTTTGCCCACCTCACTCGGTGGAGAGAGCCCAGCATAGCTGGAGATAAAGGAGGAGAAGAAGAGATCACCAGGCTGCCAGTGAAGAAAACCGGATGGAAAAAACCCAGACAGAGGAGAGTGCTGCAAAACCAGTTATCTTGGATGGATCAGAGCCAAGGAGATTAGAAGCAAAGGGAAAAGCAAAGGGTTAGGAGGAGCAGCCTGAGAAGCCCCAGCTGTTGTCACACTGTCGAGAAACCACAGCCATATTTGGGATCAACTGGTTAGAAAACACTTGTAAGAAACAAAAAACATGCAAATTGTTCAGAGTTTTAAGTTCCAAGCTGCAAGAAAGGTGACAAAAGGAGAGAGAAATGTTCCTCTTCGTGGCAGGAGGAAGCAGGAAAATAAAAGTCATTGGCTTCAGGCAGCCAAGACAAACATCATCACTCTGTATCACCGAGATTAGCACGAGCCAAATTGTCCTGGACAGGCTGTAAGCCCTCACAGTGAAATCATCCACTTGGCCTGCAGGCTGGGCTTGAGGCTATTCCCAAAATCAGAGAAACCTTTATATTCCAGCCTTGCATTTAGACAAGATAAAGTTGGCTTTGTTCTTTCTTTCTTCTCTTCTTTTTTTTAAAGCATTTTTTGACAGCTTCTTGGGCTCTCTGCAACTACAGCAAGCACCCCTTGGTTTTGCCAGGCAGAATGAAAGGAGCCTGTTTCTCCTTCAAACTTCTGGTGTTACTGAGATCCCAGATTTTGCAGGAGTTGATAACAATTGCACTTAGTCTTGACAGATTTAAAAAAATAACCTGGTAGCTTTGCCCAAGACCTAAACACCATGGAAGCTGACAAACTAAACCCAGTAGGGGTTTCATGCATCAAAGCTCCTCTGAGGCTTCTTATTTGAGCCAGCAGCATTCCCAACACCCAATCCCTTTCAAAGAAAACCACAAGGGCTCGGCTCCCCTGGACAGACCTGCTTCCTGGTTTCCTCTTGGTCAACACCAGCCCAGAGTTTGAGGGGAGGTTGGTATTCACTGTGTGGCCTCCCAGGAGGCCCAGGCAGGCTCAAGTCCTTCACTGACCCATCACAGACCTGAGACACAATGGAAGGCAGCAGCATCAGCATCACCACAGTTCTTTCCCATCTTCCCCCAGCAAAATGCTCTTCACTGGAGGCAGAGCCTCTGTGTGATCCCTCCAAACCTCATTGGGATGACCCACCTTGGAAATGGGCTTTATCTGGTGCTCAGGAGGGATGTGCCACATCTGAGCACCAAAGCTTTGTCAAAACATCTCTATAGATATGCTTTGAGGAGGGTTCTGGATTAGTTTAAATATGGATGCACATCTCCCCATCCTGAACTTTTATTATTAGCTTCTTGAAGTGTGAAAAAAATAACTAAATGTAAGGTGAATTCCACAACCAACATCTCCCAAAACCTCAGTGTAAACCTCAGCATAAACTTCCTGTGTGCCAATCTGCCCAGCCAGGATTTCTGCAGCAAGCTGGACTAATCCCCAGCCAAGGTTGGGCACACAATGCCACAACCACAAAGCCTTTGCCAACCACCCCAGGTAATCAGGATGAACCACTTCCACCTCCCAGATGCTCAGAAAAAGCTGGCTGAAAACAAAAGAGAAAAGATAAGTACATCAAGTCCTACTCAACCCCTCCAGGCACAGGGATTGCGACAGCCATCTCCTTCACCTGATACAAAGCTTTTTTTATTTTTTTTTCCCCTTTCAAGGAGGTTTCTGACTGATTTGATCTCTTCCACCCTCAGGTCTTTCGGAGTGGTCTGAGCATGGCTCTGGGTACGATGTGACTGCATGCCCTCGGTTTCAGCTTTCACCTGGGCAGCTGCCAAGTGGCATCACAAGCAGGCAGGAATCCAAGGCCACAACTGTACATGAAAGCAGGGACTGGCAGTGCCGACCTCACTGAGCTCCAGTACTGCTCCCAAGCCCGCTCTGAGGACAGCAGGCTTAAGAGCTAAGCAGGCCTGAGGAAGCAACTGCTCTACTCCAAGAGCAGCCTCTTCCAGACACCAAAATAAATCTAATGATCCAAACCTGTTAAGACCAACTTTGCACGAGTCTTACTTTTTTCAATTCAATCTTGATGTAGAAGTCATCATGCTGCCCAGTGCCATTTGCAGCTGTGCCCTGCTCCAGCAGCTCAGCAGGCAGATCGTGGTGTCCTGCCAGCAGCAGCTCCTCACTCTCCTCCATGGGCACTGCAGCTCCCAGGCAAGGGTCTGGTTTCTGGAGAAGGAGGACATGGGTGTAAACATGGAATAGAAATCTGGCTGCTTTGGTGCCAAGGGAAAACTGAACACCCTTGGAGCAGCTTTAACACACACGAGGCTGTGTGTGCTGTCACTTGGATGTGATCTGGCAGCACCATGTGTTCAGCAGCACCATGGGCACCAGAGCTGGGAAACAGGAATGTAGCAGGGTGGCTGTGACTGTGCCCTCCTCAGCTGCAGAAGCAGTGGGACAGACGTGTGGGGTGAGGGGAAGGCAAGGCAAAAACCTCTCCAGGCACTATTTCACAGTGGCAAGGAGCTGGGATCTCTGAGTGACACCAAGTACTCCTTCAGATGGGAAGTGGGCAGGCTCCCCAGTGGCAATCCACAATATTTTGAGAGGCAACAGATTGTTTCCTACAAACTAAAGAATCAAAATGCCAGAAGCAAGCTTGAAGCCAGGATAGATTTTTTTTGTCTTGCTTTCTTTTTATCCTTCAGCATGGCGGGAAGGGAAGCACAGGACTGCTGACAGGGAAAGGATGGATCAGCAGGAGAACAGGTGATGCCAAGAATTCCTTAATATGGCTCTGCTGCTGTTTGGGAAGGACAGAGAATAGTGTGGAGTCAGTCTGAACATGCAATTAATTGATAGGCACAGGAATTACTCCATCAACCCCATTATGACAGAAACATGACAGAAGAGCTGCTTTGGTAAGGAAAAGGGAACAGAGGGGAAGGGTTATTGCTTTAGAAGGTTGCTCTGGAGCACTGAAGGTAGAAGCACGTAAAACTGTGGAAAAACACCACCAACTTGGTGGAATAAGACACTGGGGAAAAGAATTTGGGTGCTGGGGAGCTACAGCTGTCCACCAAAGCCTGAAGGCAAAGACTCAGTAACTGGACAGGTCATTTCCAGGCAATTACCATTCCAGTATCTGCTTGGGAAAGCAGACAATTAACTCTTTGGATGCTTTTAACCTGAAAAGAAATCTTGGGAGGAGGGAAAGAGCAACAATTTTAGGAATGGATTATTGATCACAGGGAATGCAACACTTTACAGGGAGAAAGGAAAAAGAATAAAAATGCAGAAAACAGGACTGAAGGAAAAATTAAAAACAACATTTCAGCCAAAGACTTGCTTTGACTTAGCAGCAGCAGGGAGAAAAATGCTGGGAATATTTTTGGGAAGAAAAAGTCAAGTTATTCCCAAAGCTGAAGTTTTTAAGGAGGATGGACCTGCCCTGGGCTGCTGCCAGGAGCAGCAGCAAAGGTGCAAACAGCTCCCTGAAATCTGTGGAGGTCCAGATTACTGGAAACAGTACAAGGAGTGTCTTTCTTTATTTAAAGGAGAGGAGGAAAAGGAAACACCAAACAGAAGATTTTAGCCTCAAGAGTTTACCTGTGACTTTTGAAAAAACAAGAGGAAATCACCTTGCAAACTGCTGCCTGTAAGCCACAAGAAAACAAGATAAGCAGCAAGCAGCATAAATTTGCCAAGAGCAAGTCAGGTCAGGCTAAGCTGAATGTCTCCTACAAAAGAAGGAAGAGGCCTCAGGCAAAGAGCAGCAGAAGACTCTGGGGTTCAGCTGAGCTCTTGACTTGACCTAATAAAACTGGGGTAAAGCAAAACCTGTTAGATGGAATTCTGATGTGGGATGCACAAAACTGATTAAAAATATGGCCCAGATTTGGTCTCAGGAGTTCACTGCACAGAAATAGGGTAAGAACTAGGTGGGCTCTTGATTTCATTATCAGCCTGGATGAAGGAAGGAAGAAAGAAGTATCTTGATTGAGCTACTGACCCTCACTTGCATAAGTATTGGGTGAAAAACCCTTGGGTTCAAACGGAAGAAATGGGCTGGAATGCAAAGCACAAGGAAATCCAGGGAGTACAAAAGCAGAGGCAGCACCACCGAGGGGGTTAAGCCCATGGTTATGTCTGTGGCAGCCTTTGCACCTCAAGAGAAGGGAACACACTGCTGTCCTGCCAGGCTGGGAACGAGCCAAACCTTCATACAGGGAGAGATTCAGATTAATATGGGAGCTTTTTCTCCTCATATATCATGGAGTAATAAAACAGAGCAATATAATAAATCAATATATTCCTCCCAGAATAAATCAGTGAAGCTCTTAAACTTCCTTATGTGGATTAACTGCAGCTGCAGTGAGGCTGGGATGGGAGGATAGTCCCAAAACCTTCCCAGTGTTTCTCACTGCTGTGGATGACTTGCCCAGGACTCCCACGGATCTCCTGTAACCCTCTGGCTCAACTGGGAAGTGGCTTTATTATTTATGTAAGGGCATGAATCAACTCATCTTGCTGAATGCATTAATGGTTCGAACAAGAAGGATGTTTGCTATTAGAAACAGGTGACAAGTTTTTTGAGACCATAATTATTATGCTTCTCTGAGTCCTATTTGCAGAGCTAACTGACTTCATCAGAAATCCAAGAGTACAAATAAGAGGAAGAGCCAGATCAGTCCTTTTATAAAAGATAGTTTCTAGATAATCAGCAAACATCTATTTCACCTTTGGTGAAGCTGAGAAAGAGAAGGGAATGAAGATTTACAGGATGGGCAGGAAACTGGCTCCAGAGGCAATACGTCAAAACACCAGGCTGGGCTGCTCCTGGTGCTCTCCAAAGTCCAGCAGTTTAAGAAAGGTCTTGGCATAGAGACCGGGAAAATAGTCACAACACAAAGGTGTTCTTGAGAACCGAAGCAAGATGAAATTCAGCAGAACTAAAGGTGGCACTGACCTCCTTCCATGCACTGCTTTGAGGAAAGCAGCTGCATGCCAACCATTCTCTAGCAGAAGCCAGCCCCAGGTGAGGATCCAGATCTTTGCCAACCACACAAAATAAGGGATTGATGCAATGGAAAGAGATGTTGAGGTTTGAAGAAATAAAGGCACCTTAAGGGAAGGCTGGTCATCACATTCCTCCCAGATACCCAGATCACAATCTCAACCTTTAAAATTCTTTTTTGCATTCTTGAGTTCATCTCAAATATTTTCACACATTTTATCCTGCTGCCTTCTCTGAGGTGGTGTATCAGGAAAGCACAGTTTATTTCATTCCTGCTGGAGAAATTTCCTGAATTACGCTTTGGATTTGCTAATTAGAGCCAAACCTTCAGCAGTTTGCAAGGTGATTTCTCTGCCCTCAGCCCAGACAGCCGTCACTCACCTCCTGCCTCCACAGGGCGCTGCGGGACGCCAGCCTGCACCGCACCTGCTGCACTGCCCTGCTGAGCTGCACCCAGGGGACAGGCAAAGAAAACACAGGACAAGTTCAGCTGCACGGAGACATCTCCCAGTCAGTCTGCTCCAGCCAGGGAGCTCCATCAAGGCAGCACGACCCAACACACAATCAGCCAAGGGTTTTGCAGAGCCGCCCCAAGGTACCGAAATCCTGATCCAGGCAATTCATCTGTTCCCAAAACATCTTGCTGAGATGCCAGATCCCAAATTTTCTTGTTTGGTATCCAGCCAGAAGTGATTTTCCACCCCAAGGTACTTCAACTGGAATGCATCTCATGGTGCTTCAAGTGGAATAACTCCAGCTCCTAGGCGAGCACACAGGCTTTCTAAACCACCAAATGCATTATAAATATCACTAGTTAAAAAAAAAAAAAAAAAAAAAAAAAAAAAAAAAAAAAATGCAGCTTGGAGTTTTAGTTCGTTGGCGTCAGAAGATATTTCCCAACAAGGGCTCTGACTTTCAAAAAAAAAAAAAAAAAAAAAAAAAAGCTTAAACAGTCCTGAAGGCAGGTTTTCCCAGATTTTGGTCTATACGAGACAAGCTGCAATGAGGTGGCACCACCTAGTGCCACCTCTGCGCCAGGACACGGCTGGGACAACACCGTGCCTGCCAGCAGCCAGACCAGTTCAGCCACAGCATCTGGGACGAGCCACCCAGCTGGATGCTCTGAGGAGCACAACAATGTTCGGGGTGACAACGCGAGCTAACGTTTCATTCAGTATCTAAACCCAAATATAAAGGATGTGCTGCAGAAGAAGAAAAGAAAACATGGCCCCGTTCCCCGTTTCAAACACGGAGGATCCAAAATGCTGAAGCAGCAATGGAAGTGCAGGAGGGGCAGGGCTCACCTCGGCAGCTTGTTGCTGGAATGGCTCCCCATACTCCTCTTCTGGCTGGGCTGGGCCAGAGCCAGCACTGGGCCCACGGATGATGGGAGCAGGGAGACTCTGGAACAGGCAAGTGTTCCTCCAGGGGGTGGAGTACTGCACAGTAACACAGCTCTCCCTCTCTGCCTGCCAGGAAAAAGCCAGTGGGATCTCCAGTCATGACCTGGGAAGATGTCAGCCATGGGGACATTTCATCACCCTTGGGTGAAGTTTCTTGGGAGGGAGGTTTTGGCTCTCCGTGCTGAGAGAATAAAAAGAACCATCAGGCTTTTGGGGCTGAGGGCATTTGCGGGCTTCCCCTTGGAGCTGGCAGTTACATGAGGACATCCCTAGTCAGCCATGGAAACAGCCCAAACACCCCAAGGGTGGCCAAAGCTGGTGACATGTCAGTGCATTCTCTTTTCTGCCACAGTCAGATCCTGGCAAGTCTCCCCAGCACTTGTTTGAGAATAGAAAGAATTCAACACATTCACAGGATAACCCAAAACAAGCCCATGGGGGAAAAGGGAATGTGGAGACAGAGGGAAAGTGTTGTTTGAAAACCATTTGGCTGCTTTGGAAAAGAGATCGGAAAAGAGACAGCACAAACTGTTTTGCTTCAAATGCAGCCAGGACACATCCACATCGTTCCCAGCTCCTGCCTCGCTGTTTTTTAACTCCAGGCAATTCCACAGTGAGTTTCAGAACTCTGTTCTGCTGTTGCCTGAGGGAGCCAGCAATCTTTCCCTGGGGAGGCTTCAAAGCACCTCCAGCACCAGCCAAAGTGTCACATTGACTCAGCCTGCCTGGACACTGTTTGTCACCACAGCGTCCGAAAACTCAGAGTTTTTCTCCTTAACACCTTGACTTAAGGTGTTGACAGTGTTTGGATTTTTCCCAATTTAGGTTGGGTTTGGAGGAGTTTCTCCTGACAGAGCTCACTTACTGCTTCGTAGGCTTTCTGCAGCTCCTGCCTGCGGCGCATCCTGACCTGCCGGTTCACCCTCTGCCTCACCTCGCCCTGGAATCTCCTCAGGCTGGCTGCCTTCCTCTGCTGCTGCTCCTTCAGCTCCTCCTCCACACGGAATGCTGAGGCCTGGGAGAGGTGGAAGCAAATTTCACAACGTTTTTCCAGACTGTATCCCCGTATTCCCTTTTCTCCCATTCACAGTGACCAGGCAGACAAGCAACACCCAGAGCAAACTCCACGTTTTGTTTCAAAATACGTGGAATAACAGCTTGGACAATATCTACTGGAGTGAGTCTGACTAGAGATACAGAGCATGCACACTTCTGCCTCTGCAACACACAGGGAAGGAAAGAAAAGGAGACCCAAGGAGCAGCTCCCAGCTCCTGCTCCCATGAAAGGATGCTCAAATATCAAAAGCCTGGATCCAAAAGGAACAGACCAGGCCCTCATCCCGTTAATGTTCTCCAAGGCTGGAAGCACACCAGGGAAGCAGCTCACAGAGCACAGCACTGCTCTGGAATATCTTTACTATCTGAAGTGAAAGATTAAGAGCAATGACCTGAAAAACCCAAAAACCCCATTTTATTCTCCTTGCAATTTTGCCAAGCAACTCCACAACACCACCATGGCTTAAATTAAAACAGCACTGCTCTCCTGGCTGCCAACTCAGCAAGAGAAACCAGAGATTGAAGGGATGGAGCAAAGGGGTGAGGCCAAAGATGAACTTGGAACAGCAGGGTCAGCACAGCCCAACTAAACTCCAACATGGGGAGAGATCCACACTTTTAAGGATGAAATCAAGACACTGCTTCAGGGAACAGTCCAGTGCCAGCTCACTCACTGCCCACCTCAGCAGCAACTCTGATGCATGAGGCATTACTATGGATTACTTAGAAGTGTATTAAATAAGTTCAGATAACCCTGGGCAGTTTAATTCACCTCTGGAAGCCTCACATGGGGGACCCCAGGAGCATCCAGGCCCCCTGAAGCTGTCAGGAAAAGTCCAGCTCCACCAGAAGTTTCATAGAGCCAAGATGAAGTCCTGTGCAATACGGAGATGATTGATTTCCATAAATTATCTCAACCTTTCAGGGTTTAAATTACAATATAGAAATGAATCATCTCAGAAGGGCAGGAGCTTCGATAATGTTCAGACATTAATTACAGGGGACTGAACTCATCATCCAATATTTAATGCACTTTTAGTCCTCTTAGAATAACCCTCAAAACAGAAATCCCTGAGATAAGCATACATGAAGATTTCCTTAAGTGTTTCTATCAGGGTACAGTGGAGATTGGCTCCAGACCCTGAAACACTCAGCTTAATTTTTTTTTTTTTTTTTTTTTTAAATCAGCAACACAGAATAAAATCTTGACTCCCTGATGTCCTTTAGGGATGACTGGGAAAGCGAGAAGCAGCTCTAGCTGGGTTCCCCAACTGATTGATGTTTAAAATTGATGAATTTCTCCTCAAAATCCAGTTTATTGGAGGGGAATCAACCTAGAGAGATGTTGTGGGCTTGTGCAAATGGGAGATCAGAGTACATGGACATCACAGAGGTTTCTGACCCTGCTAATCACATTAAAACAAATTATTTTTAGGAGCCGTATTCCTGGCTGCCCTCAGGCTGTGAAAAAGATCACTTTTGGTTCTGACCCTCCCTGGGGGTTTTACTGGCACACTGAAGATGGTGCCCCGGCAGATGGTGCCCTTGGTGCACTCACAAAGGCCGGGCTTTGCTGTCCTGGCGCACTCTCCACCCAGACGCCCACGGGCATCACGCTCTGGTTCCTCTCGGCCAGCACTCGCCATCTGCGCTGCAGGGGTCTCGCCTGGTGCCTCCCCGGGGGCTGCCCGGCCCCCCGGCGCTGCTCCTTCGAGGGGAGCCCCATCCCTGGGGAGGGGGAGCAGAGGTCAGGGTGTCCCCCGAGCCCGCACCCTGCCCCATCTCCTGCCCTCAGCAGCCCAGTGCCCTCCCAGTTCTCCACTGGGACTGCGGCTCGCCACTCTGAGCGGGCGCCCCCAGCCCTTCATGGCTCAATGCCCCCTCTGCCCCCATCACTGCACCCTCTGTCCCCACTGCACCCCAGTTATCCAACCCCACGGCACCCACCTTCAGCTCCCCCTTCCCCGAGGGCCCGCAACCCTTCGTGCTCAAATCTCCCTGCACTCCCCACCCTAAACAGCCCCTCCCCAAACACCTCATCGCCCCCCACCCCAGTGGGACTCGCCCTCCCTCATCTCCTCATCCACCCCAGGGCACTGCTCCACACCCTCGGGCCCATCCTCCCGTATTTCCCCGCCACTCTGAACCTTCGTTCCCCGCACCCCTCCTCGCCCGGCCCCGAGCCCCGCGGAGCCCCTCAGGCCGCACCAACCGCCACTTCCGCCGCCACCGGCGCTTTGAATCCTGGCGCCACTTCCGCCGCACGGCCACGCCCCGACCACGCCCCCGGGAGGCCAGACCACGCCCCGGGCACACCTCGGCCACGCCCCGGAATCCGAGCCACGCCCCGACCACACCTCGGCCACGCCCACGCGCGCCCTGGCCACGCCCACATCGCCCCGCCTCACCCCAAACCCCGCCCCCTCCTCCATAGCCAACTGCTCGCCACCCCCAGCTCCAGCCCCTCAGGGTTCCGAGGTCCCCGGTTCGAGTCCCGCCCCCGCTGGAAAGGGGGTGGAGGAACTGCGTCTGCCTCAGAGCATCCCCGAAACTGCCCCCTGAGCATCCCTGAGCCACCCCACACAGAGCATCCCCGTGCAAATATCCCAAATATCCTTACAGTGTCTCCCCACAGCATCCCTGACCCTGACCGAGCATCCCCTTATATCTCCACGCAGCATCCCCCCACAAAACACCTCCCCATAGCGTGACCCCGAAGCATCTCCCTCCCTTAATGTCTCCCCAAAACTCCCTCAAAGTTTCTTTCTATAGCATCCCCTACACCTCTCTCTGTAGCATCTCCCTATAGCGTCCTCCCCAAAAGTCCCCCAAACCCCTCCCCTGTAGCGTCTCCCCATAACGCGTCTCCCCCAGAGCATCTCCCTCCCTCTGGCACAGGATGCTTGGAGGCATCGACCCCTTTTGGGGGCCAGGAGACCTCCGGGAGGGGTGGGCGGTGTCTCACTGGGGTGATGAGCTTGGCAGGCCTCGGGAGGGGGGTGGGAAGCGGCTCCGGGCATCCTGCCTCACATCCCGCTGCCCTATTCAGCGATGCCCGGGGAACGAGCGCTAATTGGCATGGAGCTGGAACGCAGCCTGGATGCCACCGGGCTTCGTTTTAGAGCCTGGGAAGAGGGGAAAAAAAAAAAGCCGAGGGGAGCTCCTTTGAGGTGGGGGTTCAGCTTTGCAAAATACCCTCCTAAAGAAAACCCCAGCTTAGCTTAATGGGGTGTTCAGAGCCCAAAATGCCATTGGATTGTCCGCGGAGGGGATGGCAAATCTCAGTTGGGCTCCATAGGGTGATGCCCCCCACCCCAAGCGTGTCCCAGGGACTGGAAAAACATGGAACTGGGGGTCTGTAACCGGGGAAAAATTGCAAATCTGAGTGGTTTTTCCTCAAATAAATGTCAGCTCGAGGCCGCCGAGGAGGCGAAAGCCACCAGGACACAGGGCTCTATTGAGAAAGGAAAGAACAAAAAAAAAAAAAAAAAAAAAAAAAAAAGGGAAAAAAATAAATTAGCCGGGCGAAGAGCCAAGCCGGGAGCTCCGAGGGACGTGCCCAGAGTGGGGAAGCGGAGCAATTCGGGGGGCGAGCCTGCCCGAAATGTGGGGAGCGCCGGCTGCCCCGCGGGGCCATCCCGCTCCCCCCTGCTTGCTGCCGGTGACCTGGCTTCTGGCGCTGCATGCAGGTAGGGACTTTTCCCATTTTTTTTCCACGGTTTTCCCGTTTTTTCCGTGGATCTTGGGGATATCCAGATGGAGGATGAGGGCCGGGGGGAGTGATGAGGGTGGTGATACCCTATGGGGGGGGTTGGAGGGAGGGTTGTTGTGCTGTCGAGCGTACCCTCTGCTTCGGAGCTGGCAAAAAAAGGGGGTAAAATTGGAAACGAAAACTGGGGAAAACACTTTTGTGGAGCCAAGCAGGTTCTGATGTGGGGGAGGATTTGGCACCGCCCCCACCCTGAGCTTCTCCCCAGATTTTTTCTTCCCTGAACCCCATTTTTTCCTAATTTTTTAGCATGTCCAAATATTTTCTCTTACCCATTCTTCATCTTTCCTTAAAAAGTCATTTTTCACCCCATTTCTAGGCTTGCCTCATGCCACTGCAACCCCGGTTTTCTCCATTCTCTAAATCCTCATATTTTGGAATTCAATGAGCCCCCAGCCGCCCCATCCCAGGTCTGGCAACACAGAAAATCACTTTCAACTATTTTGTTCCTTTTTACAAAAGTTTGCACCCAAAAGCAGCCCTGGGGAGGCCCCATTTCTCTTCAGATGAGGAGGATGGATGAAAAACAAAACCAACTGAGTTCTTTGCTGGCTTTGATTTAGACCCTAAAAACAGCCAGGGCTGTGGCAAGGACACCCCACAAAATACTGCAGGGCTTTTTTTAAAAAAAATAATAAAAATAGGGATTTGTGCCACAAAATAGTGTGAAAATGAGGATTTTTTTGTGTTTTTTTTTTTACAAAAGCCATTGAAAAGGGCTGAGAGATCTCCATCCCTAAGCCAAGGATGCTGTAGGAAAATAGAACATTCCCATATTTATTAATGAACTCCCACATTTCTTCCTCCAGAGCGGAGAAAAAATTAGGAATAAAGGGAAGAAATGGTTAAAGAGCAACGATTTGGCAGTGCACGGGGAGGGGGCAAGGATGCATTGGAGGCCACATCCCCATCCCATGCCTTGGCCTTTCTCTGTGGGGTGAGGGTTCCCCTAAATTTGGCGAGTCGGAGAATGTTTGTGGGGCCGAGAGCGGCGCTGCCGGGGAGGAAGGACGGACGGACGGATGCTGCATACCAATAGGTCCCATGACTTTTCGGGCTTGTTTAGGGCCTTTCTTGCTCCTGCTTCACCCAGCCCAGCTGGTTTTCCCACTCTCCCCTCCTCTTCAATATGGGGTTTGTTCGCTGTCGGTGACGGTATCCGTATGGGGGGCTCACGGATGGGACCGCTGGGATGTCAGGAGGGTGATGCAAAGGTATTTTGGGGAGGGAGAATGTTTTGAGGAGTCCCCTCCTCCAGAAAATCATGTTTTTATACTTTTTCCCTGCCTTTTTTGGCTTAAAACCAGCGATGAGGAGCAGTGCACGTGCACAGACTCGCGTGATGCAGTTTTGCATCTGAGGGGGCTTTGTCTGCATCCAGTGGAGATGGGGGTGGGACACAAAATCCTTCCCCCCCACCATTTTTTGGGGAATTAAGGTATCTTTGAAAAGCATTGCACTGATCCGAGCACTGGCATCTCTCACTCCCCAGGCAGCTTTTGCAGGGCAATGATACAACTTTGCCAAGGGATTCTGCCTCCCACTCCCTGCATTTTTGCAAGTGATGTGTGCATTTTTGCAAAGGGTTGCATCGACCTGGCTGCAGGAGCACTCCCCCTGCATTTTTGGGGGTGACAGATTAATTTCTGCAAAGGGTTGCATTGACCCATTGCAGGAGAGCTCCTGCCCATGCCCTGCACATTTAGGGGGCACCACATGCATTTTTGCAGAACCCAGCAACAGGAGGTGTGCCATCCACACCTCTTCCTTGCATTTTTGGGGTGATGCATGCATTTTTGCAAAGGGTTGGTTGCATTGACCTGACTACAGGAGCACTCCCACCTCCTATGCAGCTTTGAGGGGGTGATAATGCATCATTGCAGGGGGTTGCATCGACCCACCTCCCATGCTCAAAGCAATTATGGGGGTGATTCCTTGATTTTTACAATGCATTGTGTTGATCTGAGCACAGGAGGGCTCCTACCCCTCACACTTTTGGGGTGACACATACCTTTGCAAATCTTACGGAACCGAGTTGGGCACCTTGGGGGTGCTCAGCACAGCTCCACCTTGGGGTTTCCCTGTTTTCTCCATGCTTGCACCCCACTGTCTCTCCCCACACCCCAAGGTCTGCTGGCAGGGGTGAACATCACCAGCCCCACGCCGCTGGTGCGCGGCACGGCGGGCAAAGCGGCGCTGCTGTCCGTGCGCTACGCCAGCGCCAGCGCCGACAAGCCAGTGGTCAAGTGGCAGCTGAAGAGGGACAAACCCGTCACCGTCGTCCAGTCCATCGGCACCGAGATCATCGGCAACCTACGGCCCGACTACCGCGACCGCATCCGCGTGCTGGAGAACGGCTCGCTGCTCATCAGCCCCTTGCAGCTGGCTGATGAAGGCGCTTACGAGGTGGAGGTGTCCATCACTGACGACACTTTCACCGGCGAGAAGACCATCAACCTCACCGTGGACAGTAAGGGCAAGAAGGATACCCGGTGGTGACTGGGTTATCTATGGGATGTCTCCCCTCACTGCATATTGGGAGGGTTTTCTCCAGATGGGAGGTGGTTTTGGGGGTTTCCACCACCCTTTGTAGCCAAGCTGGTGGGGTTTTGATGTCTCTTTCTGTCCCCTGAGCCATGGCATCACTGTGGTTCCTCTACTTGCCCACAGTTCCCATCTCAAAGCCACAAGTGCTGGTGGCCTCCTCAACGGTGCTGGAGCTCAGTGAGTTCTTCACCCTCAACTGCTCACACGAGAATGGCACCAAACCCACCTACACCTGGCTGAAGGACGGGCGGCCGCTGAGCAACGACTCCCGCCTGCTCCTGTCCCCTGACCAGAAGATCCTCACCATCACCCGTGTTCTCATGGCTGATGATGATGTCTACAGTTGCCTGGTGGAGAACCCCATCAGCCACGGCCGCAGTGTCCCCGTGAAGCTCACAGTTTACCGTAAGCCAGCCCTTCTCCCTCCTGCACTCCCGGGTTTGGCCATCCCTTGCACATGCTTTCAGCTAAAATTTGTTGGGGGATTGTCCCCCTTCATTCCTCTCCTGCAGGCCGGAGCTCTCTCTACATCATCCTTTCCACGGGCGGCATCTTCCTTCTTGTCACCCTGGTGACAGTTTGTGCCTGCTGGAAACCCTCCAAGAAGTATGTCTGGGGATAATATGGGAGACAAGGGGGTTGTTCCATCTTGTCCCATCCTGTCTTGTCCTGTCCTGTTTTGTCCCATTTAATCTCTCCCCATCCTAACCTGCCCTGTCCCATACCATCCTTCTCATCTCATCTTGACATCCTACCCCATGCCATGCCATGCCATGCCATGCCATGCCATGCTGTGCCGTGCTGTGCCATGCAGTGCTGTGCTGTCCCATGCCATTCTATCCCATCCTACCTTGTTCCATCTCTCTTGTCTTTATTCTATTCTATTCTATTCTATTCTATTCTATTCTATTCTATTCTATTCTATTCTATTCTATTC